GAATAGTGAATTGTGAAGATGATGCTGAGTGACTTCAGAGGGACGTTGACAAGCTGGCCAAATGGGCAGATGCCTGGCAGATGAATTTCAATGCAGAGAAATGTGAGGTAATGCATCTTGGTAGAAGAAACATGGAGAGACAATACAGACTCAATGTACAACTTTGAAGGGAGTACAGGGGCAGAGGATCTTTGGGGTTCAAGTGCAAAATTCTCTTAAAGCAGTCAGGCAAGTTGAACAAGTTATAAAGAAGGCTTATAGGATCCTGAGGTTTATAAATAGAGGCATAGAATATAAAAGCAAGGAAGTGATACTGCACTACAAATCATTGGTCAGATCTCATTTGGAGTATTGTGTTCAGTTTGGGGCAGCTTATTTAATGAAGGATTTTAAAGTATTGGAGAGAGTGCAAAGGAGATTAAGTAGGATGATACCAGAAAAGGTTAGAAAAACTGGGTTTATTTTCCTTGGAGCAGAGAAGATTAGAGGTGATCTTACGGAGGTGTTCAAATTTATGAACGATTTTAACAGGTAGAGAAGGATATTCTGTTTCCATTAGTTGTTATGTCAGTCAGTAGGGGGTCACAATTTCAAGATTGTCAGCAAGAGAGCTAGGAATGAGATGAAGAGAAATTTCTTCACTCAGAAGATTGTTGGGATTTGGAATATGCTGCCTGGGAGAGTGGTGGAATCAGATTCCATGGGAGATTTCCAAAAGAGCTGGATATATTTGAAAGGGAAGAATTTAGAGGGCTATGGGGATAGGCTGGAGGGTGGGACTAGCTGGGTAGCTCTTTCAGACATGATGGGTGGAATGGCTTCCTTCAGTACTGTAAAATTCTATGATTCTATAAATGCCTGTTATTAATACCAAAATGTACTTGTATATTTTAATTTGAATAATAGTTAATGGAGATTGATACAGCAGGTTTCAAAATTACAACCAATGCTCATACATTTTCCATTAATTCAACAAAAAAAGTCATCACTATGTTACTGGGGCATCTACACAAAGAAGTGTTCTGCACCATCTTGAGAGATTGAACAGAATGGGGCTCTTTTCTCACAAAGGCTGAAGTAGGCAAGCCTCTGTGGTGCAATGGAGAGTGTGTTAGACTTCCTCAGAGTTGTTAAAATTGCTCTTCAAATGTTGTGGGCTTGAGTCTTACCAGAGTCAAGCTTTGGGAGAGGCAATGTCCTGGTGGTATTATCACTAGACAGGGACCCAGGTTTGCATCACACCATGGCAGATAGTGGTATTTGAATTCAATAATTTAATTTTAACGATGGCTCAATGGTTAGCACTGCTGCCTGGTAGCGCCAGGGACCCAGGTTTGATTTCATCCTTGGGTGACTGTCTGTGTGGAGTTTGCATATTCCTCTCGTGTCTGCGTGGGTTTCCTCTGGGTGCTCTGGTTTCCTCCCACAGTCCAAAGATGTGCAGGTTAGGTGGATTGGCCATGTTAATTTGCCCATGGTGTCCAGGGATGTGCTGACTAGGTGGGCTAACCATGGGAAATGCAGGGTTACAGGGATAGGCCAGAGGGTGGGTTGGGTGGGATGCTCTTTGGAAGGTAAGTGTGGACCCAATGGGCTGAAGAGCCTGCTTCCAAAGTGAAGGGATCCTATGATTCTAAGGATGACCTGATCAAGGTTCTTAAAATTATGAAAATGATTCAACTGGACAGACATAAAAATGGTACTTCAATTGGAGACTGGAACAAAGAGTCCATCAACATAAAATAGTGACTGGTAAATAGGGAAGTCATGAGAAACATCCTTATTTGGAGAGAGCTGAGAATGTGGAACTCACTACACATGGAGCAGATGGAATAATTGGCATTGATACATTTAAGAGAAGCTGGGTAAACCTGAGGGAGAAAGGAATAGAGGGACGTGGTGATCAGGTGTGACCAAGTGATGGGAGAAGGCTCATGGGCAGCCATTGGGCTGAATGTTGTGTTTCTGTAAATATGGTGTTATCTGTGAGTAGTGGCACAATTAGGGTACTCTGTGTAGCTTAAGAAAAATCAAGAATGTATTCACCAACTTTGTATCATCTTACTCCAGATATAGCCAGCATGTAGGACTTAATGCTTTTTCTGTGGATCATTGCCTCAGGTGCTAATGATTCAGAGACTCTTTAAAATGATATATGATTACAGTTTACTGTGACTTGGCCTGGAATCCAAATGTTATCTGATTTAAAACAGGTTATTGTGCCTGAAGGTTTCTTGCAGTATTAGCAAGAGTTCAGAGCCACCCAAAGTAGATTTTACAGGACTTTTGAGCAGAGACTCTAGACTGCAAGCAGTGACAATGCTATTCAATCACAACGAATTTCAAATGAAATACAGCTTGGGTAGGAAATTCATCTGACACATATGGAGAGGGAATTGAATAGAACAGAGTACAGAGTACAGCAGTGATGTGGGGACAGAGTGAGGCTGTGGGATTGGTATGAATTCACATGGAAACGGATAGCTTCCTACAGTGTTATAAAACTGATTCCATAGACGAAATGTTCACCAATTTAACCAATTGAGGGTGAAATCCAACCCTTTTGTGTCTCTGTTGCACAAACTTTTCACTTCTGGAACCATGTCAAAGATTCATGAAATGTAATTACTTCATAGAAGCAGACAGAGGCCATTCATCCTTTTGGTTTGAAGAAGAGTAGTGATGACGTGCTGGATATCATTAATAATCCCACACTTCCAAAAAAAATTCCAAAATGAGCCAACCATACAATTGCACTTTAGTTGCAAAACAATATGATCCACAACTTACTGGTTGCGTTTCAGGGCGTGCTAAAGGGTTTGAATTGCCACGTTCAACTCAATCATGGTTATTCTGTAACTTAGTTTTATTTGTTTGATTTCCCTTAATCCCCTCAGGTATCAAACATCTATCAATGTCAGTTTTGAGATTTTCAATTGACCCCCAGACTTAAGGTCTTTCAGGGGTATTTCAGGATAGGTGGGGTGGGGTGGGATGGGGCAGAAAGTTCCAGATTTTCACATGGAGAGAAGTTCACAGAACAGTTATGGTGCAGGAGGAGGCCGTTTGGATCTTCATGTCTGCACTGGATCTCCAAATTAGCATCATGACGTAATGCCATTCTCTCACCCGTTCCCTGTAACCTTGCATGTTATTTCTGTTTAAATAACCATGAATTACTAAATTGAACCTGCCCTCTTGTTCTTGATCCTGTTACAAGTGGGAACAATTCCTCCCCATCTACTCTGTCCAGACCACTCATGATTTTGGAATCTTCAATCAAACTTCTTTTTACCCTTCTTGAGGGGAAACAGTTCCAACTTCATCAAGCGACAGGACTTCTGACATTATCCCCGAAATCTCTAAATGAGCCTAGCTCCAATATTATACTTTCTCTTTCTCTAGATCTGATCAACTCCTTATAATTGCTTTTGGAGGGATGTGCAGACATTGGAGAAAAGTCTTATGGGAATGGTTCGTAGGGATGAGGAACTTCAGTTATGTAGATAGATTGGAGAGACATGGGCTGTTTTCCATAGAAGAGGTCGAGAGGAAACTCGAGATTAGAGATAATCCAAATCCTGAATGGTTTCGTCAGAGTAGATACATGGAAACTGTTTTCATTGGTGGAAGAATTGATAGCCAGAAGACACACATTAAAGGTGCTTTGAAAAAGAATTGCAGGAGACATAAAAACATTTTTTTATTTAATCCAATGAATACTGGAGTTCTGGAATACAATGCTGATGATGGCAATTGAGGCAGATTCAAATTATGGCTTTCAAAAGAGAATGGGATAAGCATCTGAACGGAAAAAATGTGCAGGGCAATGGGGAAGTGTAGAAGAGTGGGATTAGCTAAATTGATTTTGTAGAAAGCCAGTATATACAGAATGGGATGGATGGCCTCCTTAGATACTGTAAATGTTCTATAATTCTATGGTCATCTGAAACATCTCCATAGGCTCACCCCTCAATCTTCCAAAATTGACTTGAATTATATAATGTCATCCAACAATTCCACACAGTGCTGAGGGGAATTACAGGTATGAACTCTACAAGTTACTAACATTGAAGTTCCAGCTACCTGTTTCGAAAGATGCAGAAAGAAGATTAGGGATGACGTCCTGGATATCATCAATTATCCTACATGGTAGCTCAGTGGTTAGCACTGTTGCCTCATAGTGCCAGGGTCTTGGGTTGGATTCCAGCCTTGGGTGACTTTCTGTGCTGGAGTTTGCACATTCTCCCTGAGTCTGTGTGTTTCCTCAGGGTGTACCAGTTTCCTCCCAAAGCCCAAAGTGGTGCAGGTTGGATGGATTGGCCATGCTAAATTGCCCATCATCTCTAGGGATGTGAAGGCTAGGTGGATTAGCCATAGGAAATGGAAGGTTACAGGGATGGGGTGGGTCTGGGTGGGATGCTCTTCAGAGGGTTAGTGTGGACTTGTTGGGCCAAATGGCCTGCTTCCACACTGTAGGGATTCTAAATATATCTCCAAAATAAATGTCAAAATGAGCTTGCACTTAGTTACAAAATGACAATATACACAACTTACTGGAATCAGTTTCAGGATGTCCTATGGGTGTCAATTGCCACATTAGCAATGCAAGCTCTTTCATCATTTTGAAACAACAAGTTGCTGTTGTCTCTCGTAAACCGATTACTAACCAACTTCACAAATGTATTTCACAGTGAGAAGCTTGTAGTCTCTTCCGTAATAACTCACACCAAAGTTGAGCTGGTGTGGGCTCATTTGCATGTAGTTATCTGTTTCACAGCACTGAGGCTGAAAGAAAATAAGTTATTTTTTAAGCAGTTCTTTTCAGCCTCAATTTAATAACGGGAATGCCACAATTTTGAATGCTGCACAATTTAAAAAGTTTAATTTATTCTGTTTTGATGCAAGGCTGATAGTAAAGCTAAACTTCCAGTAGATTATTAAATGAAGGATTCTTTATTGATACTTAACATTTAATATTAAAATAAACTGGTGTGGTACTCTCACAGTTTACTGAATAACAATGGCAATAATGTAGGAAAAACAGAGAAACCATTAGTAGGCAAGTATGGGTTACGGATAATAACATTAAAAAAAAATTGGAAATATTCACTTCAGAAATCCTTTTCAAATCAAAAAACATGTTTCGACCAGACGTGAACATTTAGTAAAGGCACAAAATGTTGAAATTTCATTTTAACTCACACTGTTGGACTAGAATTCAACCAGGATTATCATCTGGTCACACATGGCATTTCTACTAATAAGTTTTACATTCAACAAAATTACAAGAATGAAAACTTAAATCCCACAAGTTTCAAAGTTAATATTATCCTTGTTATGGCTTACAGTCTGTCTAGGATTTGCAAATATGGTCCCTCTTTGGTTGTGACTTTTTAAGATATTGCACTCAACAATGTTCCACACCAGAGGGCGGCAAAGCATGTAAATAGATTTTAAAGTTTATACTGTAATGAGGTCAAGTTCTTTCCATCAAATCTGAATGTCAATAGCTAGACATCAATCCACACAGGAAGGCAGCATCCGACGTCAAGTTGCCAAGTCTCCAGGGTGACCTGGACGTCTCCAGGAATTAGATGATCAATCGCACAGTTGATGCTGGGAGAAAAGCCCAGGGGAGAAAACAAAACATCACAGGCATTTTTAAAGAAAGGCGTTTCCTATGAACACTTCAGGAACATCAAGCATGATCCAATTGGATAGTGACAAGTGAGTAGGTTCACTGATGGCTGTGGGGAAGCCTGGGTGACCGGGTGTGGTCTCGGGAGACCGCCCAGAAGGAAGAACCAGTTAATTCTTGCGAACGCCATATACTTGTCTGACTCGTATAATTCAAACTGGAGCTCCACTGCGGCCAATCTGTTCATCTTCAAACCTTGCTGTTACTGTGCTTGATTGACCCGCTAGGCAATGATGGGAAGGTGGGGGTGGTCCTTGGAAGTGAGCGGTCATGTGCTAAAACCTCTATTAATACATCCAGTCAGAGTAGGCAAATTCAATGACTGATGTCAATGGCAATCCAGAGGATGTGTATCTCCTGCCATTGGCTATTGAATTCTGCAAGTAAAAACACATCAGAAAATCATGCTACATGGAATGAGACTATTCGGCCCATTGTGGCTCTTCGAAAGTACTAATCAATGAGTCCTTTACCACTCAACACTCCTCCCATTCCACTCTTTTCCCCCCCTCCCATTTGGAAATTCACAATTGAGCTCCCCAATAATGATAAACCTATCACTCACACCCCAACAACTCTCACCCCTTCTGCCCCTGGCATGATCCCGATGGACAAAGGGTACAAAATCAGTGATGAAATTGTGCTCCTCCAGTTTGCAGTGCCTCTCGAAGCTTGTGCAGAGGCCTCCATTTTGGCAATGTCAGGGCAGCTTCCATTGTGAAGGATATCTGATGTAGTATTCTGGAACGACATTGGAAATCTTCGTTCCTTTCAATAATTTGGTTCGTTGCCTTGAGAAGCACAAATGGACAAAAGACACATACATGCACTTTGAACTCCACACCATGGATCGTTCTGTTTTTGTGAAAATACACAAGGAAAAGGAACTCGAAGGTGAGAATTTCCTGGGTTCAGCTTTCGGCACAACGTGGCCAGAGATGTGGTGAAAATTCTTGGTGAAAACATCTGTATCATAAAATGGCAGCAGGTGTACTGTTGACAAGATGCACTGCAACAACATGTCAACAACAACTTCCAGACCCACAACCTTTTACCAGCGAGAAGGACAAGGGCAGAGACAGGTAGCTGTACCACCACCTGCAAGTTACTCTCCAAGTCACACACTGTTCTACAATTGCAGCTCCTTCATTGATTCTGGATCAAAGTCCTGGAGCTTCCCCTGTGGGTGTACCCACACCGCGCAGACGGCAGGGGTTCAAGGAGGTGGCTCTAGGGTAATTAGGGATGGGAGTGAAACAATGAGGAGGAAATTCTGCATGTGGGTCAAAGATCTGAATACCACAAAAAAAAGAAAATTGATTGATGATAATTCAAAGAACCCCTTCCCTCCCAATTAATTCAATAGTAAGGGCAAGGAAAGCAACGTTTAGTATCCACCTGAATGACCAAATGTCAGGCCAGGCTTGGCTGAAGGCCATCTGATTTTGAAAAGCACCACCACTGAGTATGAACAAAAACAGAAGTTGCTGGAAAAGCTCAGCAGGTCTGGCAGCATCTGTGAAGGAAAAAACAGAGTTAACGTTTCGGGTCCGGTGACCCTTCCTCAGAACCCTTCTGAGGAAGGGTC